TTTTGAATAGTAAATTGATGGAAAATGTGTGGTTGAAAAATAAGGAAAAGTTTTTTATTAACGTGTAATATTATTTTAATAAAAAATGTGTGGTTGAAAAGAATAGAGAGAGAAATGTATTTTGAAAAAAATGGGTACCAAACGGGGCTATAATGCTGACAAAAATATGATAGAGTTTTTTGATGGCACGTGTGTTTTCAAGGACAGAACGAGGGACAAAAGAAGTCTTATAATGAAACTGAAGAACTTTTTCATGTGCTTGTATTGTTCTCCTAGTGATGTGGTGGACATAATCTCCTTCTAGATATATATTTGGCTGTATTTTTTATTCCATATTTGTACCAATTATTACCTTCCGTATTTCTCATCATCCACATTTTTGCAGCATCACTGCCGATGTTGTGGCCGAACTTTATGTGCTGAACATTCATCAAACCAAATGGTATGCACTCTACGTACTCATGAACTTGTGTGCCGTACCTGGCTATTGGTCTACACATAGGAAATTACATAATTAATTTATCTGTTTTTCTCTTCTTTTGTTCAGGCCTTGCCACAATTTGGTATTCACTCTGATGTGAGAGTATGTGCTGAATGTTTCAATAATGCCTCTAGGTAATTTCCTTTATGTGCTAGTGTGGATTGTCCAAGCCAGAATTTATGTTTGACTTTCTAAATAGTCATACGTAATCACTAAAAAGTGATGAGAGTGTTAATCAATCAAAGCCACAGCGGGGCTGAAAATATGGCTGCCATATATTCACTAATAATTACCTTCAAATTTGAAGTACTTACTATTAAAAAAGTCTAATAGATGCTCTTTTGATCTTCAACAACAAGCTGTCTAATGCTGTACGAATTGACTTTTAAAACCAAGGTGGGATTATTGGTATAGATAACAAATATACAGAATATCTTGCAAGCATGCACCATATTTAATTCTGGAGTTGAAATCTCTATATTCATGCTAGTTGTTCATAATCTTTCTGTTTTCAAAACTGCCACCATACTATTTGGGCAAAGTGATTTTTCTTTTTGATTGATTCGTGCTTATTTTGCTATCTTTCTCATGCTGCAACCACAGAGTTTCTGAGAACTTCAAATTCATTGAATCATTCTGTTCCATCACTTGTACCGAAAAGGTTGTGTTTTGAAATTTTCATTTATTTAACTTCCTTAATGGAATATCGTACTCATAGATCAAAGAAAGATGACATGCCAGCTTCTTCAAATGGAGTTAATGCTGCAACAGATTCAGTTTCGAGGTTGGATATCAATGTTGTTGAAGATACCAAATCTGAACCAACAGCTGAGAAACTACCAGTTCCTGGCATTTTAGAGTGCAAATGTGGAATGCCTTTGTGTATTTGTGAAGCACCAGCTCCTCCAACTGATTCTGTTACCCTACAGGCAAGTGCTCTCGCATGTCTGGTAATGCATCTTGGGTGAACCCTGTAGGCCTCAGGGATTTCATTCTATTGCAGCAGGTAAAAACTACTTCCACTCCCACAATTCAATTGAATCCAAAACCAAAAAAGGCAGACCCAATTCCAAAGAGAAGAGGTTCAACATCAAACAGCAAACCCAGGTATACGAATGTTTGTTTAAGTTGTTGATAGTCTCCCTGTATTCGTCTTGACATAACACATTTTGAGTCAAACTTACCTATTATTAGCTTTAGTGGTAAATTATAACAATCTATCTCTATGAGATGAGATCTCTTGTCTCCATTTGGCTGTTCCTCCACTCTATTTTTTGACAGTTCATCACATCACCTCTTGTTAGCAAATGGGAAGACGCGAACTCAATACACTATTAGTGACATCACCTCTGAAATGGCATCTTCTCATTTATTAACAAGAACTTATGTGCTTGTCAAAAAATAAGTGGGAGACAGCCAAATGGGGACTTCCATTGGGCATCATGATGCGTAAGATTGAGCAGTAACAACAGTTGAATCTAGTTCTCAGTAAACTTGGGTTGGCTACGGCCTACGTGAATCTAATTTAACCACTAAATCCAGAAAAGATTTCATAAAATCACCTCGTTTATGTTTCAGTTCATTAATCAATTTATATATTACTATGTTGATTGAATTTCAAGTGACGCTAGGACCTAATAGTTGTTTATGTCCAAGTCATTATTATTCTCGAAATTCTGTTTCCTTCTAAGATCAATTTAGTTGACAACTTAAGAGTTTTAGCTCTTCATTTTGCACAATTTTTTATTTTTTATTTTTTTGGGTAAAGGGAACCTTTATCAAATATGAAATTGGTTATATTAAAGAATATTTTAGGTTTTCTACTACTTAACAAGAGTTTTGTCCTTTGTGACCCTCTGAGAAATTAGGCATCAACGTGGATTGGAATAACTTATAGCGCATTCCCCCCTGCGTCACATTAATTTCTAGATCGAATTGAAATTGGAACTAGAGTTGAACCTCCAACTTTGTGGTAGTATGAAGATTACATGTTACAGTGGCTCGAAGGATGGCTTTTGAGGCTACATGAATTCAGAATCTCTCCTCCCTGTTGGTGAAGCAAACAAGACGCCGCATCATTGTCATCACTATGCAACTTGGAAGCACATAATCTTCTAACAACTTGCCCATGGTGACATACAAAGTCATTAAAATCTGTAGTTAGCTTGTGACTTAGCCAAATAATATATGGGAACTTGTGACCCTTGCAGCTCATTCCAATAGGACAATCAGGACATCTATCTTCAATAAGAACATATCTGTTAACCCAGGAGGTATATATGACAAGAAGCTCAGTACTTAGTATGGTCCCACTAGGAAGTGTTACCCAAATGGTTATCCACCACAAGATGATTCCCCCAGAATTGGAATGCAAAACCTCACAGTTACTATGAGCCTTCATTATGATATACATCTGTCATAAAAGGTTTCATGGTTCTGTTTAATGTAATCAATTGTTTTATGACTATGCTTGTGAATTACTCTAATACTGAGTACACGTGTAACATCTTGCAGTACTATATTTAATCATGGTCAAGCTACTAACACTACCCTAGATAGATCATCCATGGATTATGAAGTTAGTGGAGAGGTATGAGATCTACACTTTTGGTTGGTTACTATGTTTTCAATAGAAATATTTGCACAGGACGTGGTAAAATAAAATAAAAAATAAAAAATAAAAAATAAATAAATAATTGAATAGGGAACGATTAATTTCTCTAATTTAGAAGTATTTTGCAAACTATTGCGTAGGGTTTGAGAGAAGCTATAAAAAATGGAGATACAGCTTCTGCTAAAAAGCTTTTGACTCAGGTACTTTTTCCCTCCTTTTCCCTTTTTTTATTCTCAATGGTAGATTGGGGCTTTAGTGCTTTCTATGCTCTGATATAAAACTGAATATTTTCAAACTAGTAGGGAGTGGATGCAAATTACTGTGACAAACAAGGGTCATCTTTATTACATCTGGTACTCTCTCCCCACTCTCTCCCTCACTTGCATCAGAAGATTAAATAAGTGGATTTGAATACTCATCTGTTGACGCGGTTTAATACTGTAGGCAGCAGTTTTCAATCAAACTGAGATAGCTTTTGCCCTCATGGATCATGGAGCAAGCATGGACTCCAAGAATTTACAAGGTAAGTGGTTTATATTTTCAATATTTGTCCATCTTGAATGGGTTGTGGGATAGTCTTCTAGTTTTGAATACAAATAGATGTGTCCTCACCTTAATTGTTCCTGCGGCAGTTAGAAATAGAGGATATCTAAGTTAATAGCCAAACCTCTGTATTGTGCAAGCAAGCAAACAGGTCCTCATGCTTGTCATCTGTGCCATTCTGCAAGCAATTATGGCCTAATTTTCCTTTTTGCCTGACATCTATTAGATAGGGCATGTAAGTTACCGAGTGAAACAATCTTCTCTAATTTTCAGTTGGCATGCTTCACTCATTGTGTCATTCTGGTTAAATAATGGTTTAGATTCTTTAAGAGTGGGCTGCATTAAGTTTGGTTAAGTAACTATTTTCTTTCTTTTTTTTTTTTTTTTTAACCGTCTCTTTTCAGGTGAAACACCACTAGATTGTGCACCCGCCACATTGCAATACAGAATGAAGAAGAAGATAGAAGAAAGTATGCAAGGGGATCCATGAAATTCCATTTGTAGAAACTCTTTGTTTCTAACGTTTTGATGTGGAAAGTTAGCATACTTTCCACAAGCATTGGTGATTGTGATCTAATGTTTACTGATATTTATTAATGTTATTAGTGTCCCTGACCAATGATGAAACTCTTAATCATAAAATCTTTGACACAATTTTCAGTTATCATCCATGTTATGAATAACAATAGCAACGATGCAATAATCAGGTTTATTTTTAACGATGATTTATTTTTGCTTCATTCACTATTTCATGTTGTTACTTTCTGTTTTCTTTTACTTTGGTGGTGGGAAATGGTTTTTTGAACGTAAACTCTCAACACCTGCAATTTCCTAGTGTGTGAATCTTATATTACAAAGCTGTCGTCCATAATTTTTGTTTTCATTAGCTTGAACATGTCGTCCTTTTAGTTTTCCCTTGTTCTTCTTGATTGTATGATATTGAACTTGAAAAAGGTACCTTGTTTGTTCATGTGAAAATTAGTAGCAATCTTGTTATCTGGTAGATTGTAGTTGAAGCTTCCTTGAGGTTGAGGAGCACTAAAAAGTGTATTTCAGAAGCCTAAAGCAAGTGGGATTGGATTGGATGCTGATAAAGTATTCCATAACCGAAATGCAGGTACCTTCATTAGCTCAAATTTCATCATTTAAATCTAATTTATAGTTGGATAAACGTGTCTACTTTTCCTATTTTCATACGTACGATAAAACATTATTTACGTGCATTATAGAATTTTGAAGTAGGGAAAGTATGATATCAAATCTATGTGGAAAATGTCATCATTGGAGGAGATGCTCATGTGGATGTCAGTGGCATACTTTTTCCATGACCAACATTTTGCTTTGAAGAGTCTTTTTATTCTTATTGGCTTTGAAGAGTCTTCTTTTTATTTGCTTTGAAGAGTCTCTTTTTATTCTTATTGGATTTGAAGAGTCTTTTTATTCTTATTGGATTTGAAGAGTCTTTTTATTCTTATTGGATTTGAAGAGTCTTTTTATTCTTATTGGATTTGAAGAGTCTTTTTATTCTTATTGGATTTGAAGAGTCTTTTTATTCTTATTGGATTTGAAGAGTCTCTTTTTATTCTTATGGGATATGAGAAAGTAAAGCAGAAAAAGAAAATGTCACCCCACCCAACTTCTCCCCACTTTTTTTTTTGAAAGGTGCTTCTCCCCACTTTTCCCCACACGTTATCCACTGTGTAGATCTTAGGTTTATGTATATGTTTATATCTATAAATACCTGCCTTAGGCCATTAAGATTCCCCCCTCCCCTCTCTCCCCCCTTGTAATTGCAATGGTTGTGAGTGATCATATTCTGCTGTGCAAATCAGCTCTTATATTTGCTGTCACAAGATGTCTCTTGTCCTTTGCTCATACAGTCTCTAGTTCAATGAGCCTATTCTCTTTTTCCTCGGATTCGTTAACACGTATTTGGTTCAGATCCTCTCCTTCTTCTGCTTCATCGGCCAACCTGAAGATGGTTCGGGACAGTCTCGCCCTGACCACCTTCGGGGACATGACCGGCAGGTTGCCCGAAAGTCATGACACGTCGTGTGCTGTGTATTTGAACCGGTTGAGGAAGAAAAATGAGGTGTGGGAGCTTAGCAATTGCTGCCATATCTTCCACAAGCAATGTCTCGAGAGGTGGCTTGCTTATGATAGTCGGTTGTCATGTCCACTCTGTAGGGCGTCGTTGCTAGCCATTGGCCCACTTCCGCCTTCTTCCCGTCAACCGCCACCACCCAGCTGGGCTGTCGAGCAAATGCTTTATTTGTTTGGTGATGATCTGCTTCCTTGTGATTGAACCTACATTTTTGTTCAGGCCCTTCAATTTGAGTCTTGATATTAGCTTGTATATAATTAGTCAGAGATGGACCTTTCGTTTGTCAAGAAACAGTTGAGGGATTCTTAATTACCACGAAAAATAAAAGGTTTCCCAGTCACGAATTTATACTTCTGATTGACAATTAAAGGAATATATTTTTAATTGCACCTTTGTGCCAAAATATTATCAGACAATTTTAATAATATCTTCATGGCATCAAAATGGCTATGTAGATGTAAAAGCCAGTCAAAAGGAAATTCTAGAACAAGGGAGGCAAAAGAACAGGAAAGCATTTACTGGAGACTGGTGTACAATGATGCTGGAAAATGTCACACGGAGCACACAGTAAAAATTTTCTAGGCCAAAATCGGCGAGGCAAATATGCAAAGCATTGTATCAGAAAAAGGAAAGCTTTACTAACATACAAGTAACGTGCTGGATTCTAGTATGGAGCTTCATCCCATCAATCCATGGAGGATCCATCTGGCGACATCTATTTGCATTATCGTGAGCCACTGGGAATGATCGGTGAGGATGTTCACTGATCTGGGACCGCTAGAAAATAAGAAGATATAGCATGTCTAAACCTTTTCCTGTATTGCACAGGAGAAATAACTCCTGTTGGAGACATGCATAAGACTTTCTTAATCCAAGTTTCAAGATGCTTGTCCCAGGTATACTGTCTCATGAAATTACTAATCCCAATCACCAGCTCGTGCTTTTCCTCATCCAAGCCAACAAGTAGGGAGTAATCCGTCACATTTATTGTCTGTCATGTCACAAGCAAGGACGGATTAGGATAGCAATCACACTTGAGCAGAGCATAAAAGAATTATGGAAGCCTTGTCCTAAATGAATTCGGGATCAAGATTGACTACATGAATCCTTTTTCATCACTACATTTGATCCATCACTCATGAAAATGTACAAGAGAAAAACAATGACCGATCTAGGAGTACATTAAAGTACTTGAACAGAGAAAAGAGGAGAAAGGTCTGCCCAACTCGTATTGACTCACAATCATTTGAAAATGTGTCAGAATGTGTGTTATCATAGTCTAAATGATTTCTCCTCCTGATATGTGAGTTTGCATGTGTGTGTTCGTGTGAAATAAATGACAAGCTCAACTAGATATAAATCTTAGTTTCAGCAAACATAAAAGCTCATTCAAGCAATGAATAAGTTGAACAAGATGCTTACGGCAAGAAATGAAGTGTCATTCCATACAGCTCTTTCCAGCAACCGTTTTGCCTCGGTTCGCACAAAAATTGGAGAAGTTGCAATTTCCTCAATAAGGTTCTGATCAAGTAAAACTTTATCACTTCCATCTGAATCTGGATTATACCGTGATCGTGAAGAACCTTTGAGATCATACAATCTTGTGATGTTGCGCTTGAAGAAAAGATTTTCTGTTACCAGAACATCCATTTGTGATTCTTTCCCCTCCTTGAGATGCTTCCATGTCACCTTCAAGATGATAACAGATAAGCTAATAGCAACAAAATAATATGATTTTGTGTATTATAATAGACACGTGATACGTATATGATTGGAAAGATTTAGAGTCAACTAAAAAGATGACTGGCAATCAGTTAAATCGGCATTAAGCAAATAAGACTTCTGATGCGGTCAAAACACGTTCAAATGAATCCCGCACAGAGATTTTATGAACTCAACTTCAGGCACAATGATGTATATTGGGAGGTGAAATTGAAGAGCCAATACCTGATAGATGCCCAAGATCTTCGCCAGACAATTGGGAATTCCTGTATTGATTGATTCAGATAAATAATTGAAATAAGCTGGTGCAAACTTCGTGAATGATATGAGATCTGTCTTTGTAATCTGTTTAATAATAAATCGATTGTCCAAGGTTTGGTTCAAGATTACATTGCTCTTGCCACTCTGTGCACCCCTCATCTTACAGAGACTAATGGACCTAATGAAATCTAACTCGTTCAGGCAATAAGTTTCCCTTAAGGCCTTAAATTGCTTTGCAAAATAACAAATCACAGTATAATCCACCTTCTGTGGATGACCATCATTTGAGAAAGATAATTTGGCATGCAAGGTATTTCTGTCTAACAGTGAATCCAAACCTGACAAGCTTCGAGAGCCAGAATTAGACGAGAAGCTATCCTTGGACTCAGAAGCGGCCTTCTGTTTTTTAGGTTCATCTGACATTAAGTCAAGGTACTCTGGCGAGACAAGGGCATATGATATGATGCTGGTTGGCTCATCCTCATAAATCGGCAGAACAGTATCGGTGGAAGCCACAGGTAGGAGCATTCCGGCACTGCTTGGACGTGCTCTCTCTCTCAAAGATGAGATGTAGAAAGGGTTATACTCACTAATTTCCCCAAGGTTCAGTGAATTTATTGTTAAATTCTTGTCAAATGAGCCATACAAAGCTGAAGAGGATATTCTCGCCCAACTACTGGAATTATTGATATCATTAGGCCCTTTTGTAGGTAATGCAGAGGAAAGTGGGTGCGGTTCCTCAGTCAAAGACTGATCATTTGTACAGTTTAGAACACCCAAGTATTCTTCGGCTGATCTCATACCAGTAGGAAATATATTTGTCATCTGGCGATCACCATTCCATGCAGCATCTAAAATATTTATTAAATTTTCCATTGCTTGTAACTTCTCCTCTGGCTGAGCCAGTATCACAGCTTCTCCATTTTCAAGGTTGTCTGATTGATTGCTTGTATTTGTGCTAAAATAACTATGAGTAGAACTAGTAACATGTAACAAGCGTTGATCCCAGACATAAGAATGAAAAACTAACTGCCTCATTAATCCGTTGATTTTGAGAATGTCAGCCGCAGGCTGAACAACTTCATGATCCCTATTAAGCACTTGAGATAATAACTCCTAAAACAATATGAACTCTAAATTAGAGAAACAGATTCACAGCTAAGAAAATACTGTAAAATCATTTCTATTTTCTAGGGATATGCCAACGGAAGAAATTAAATCTTGAGATTATATTTACACCTTGCAAATGCACAGTTTTTGGGATACAAAAGAGCTTTTGTTGATTTTTGGGTAAAGATTGAAAAATAATGTAAGATTAATTAGTGCATGATGATGACTACATTATGTTATTATACAATAAAAATTACTAATGTTCTATGTGAGCCAAAAACTGACTAGACAGTTCAACCACCGTGTTAGCGGGTGAACCAATGACCCAGTGACTCAGTGACCCACCTCTTTGTCCAGGTCAATGCTCAGGTCGGGTTTGAAAACTGGGCTGCTAATGCTTAGCTCCTGTGAATGTAGCTTAAAATTTGGACAACTAAGTCGAAGTCAATAATTAATTGTAACTCCACGTTTCATTAGACTCACAACTTTTCAATTACACGTTTCTTCAATTTTTATGAAAATCTATTAAAAATCTGATTTTTAGTCACATCAAACTGGGGCTTAAAGTATATAACATGGTGGTATTGCAGTACAAAGCACAAATTGCGTCTATTTGCACCATGCAAAGAGGAGGAAATTATAAGATGCATCATGGTGTGGGCGCTGAACCAAAATATTACTTTAAAGAGGGATTGATAAAGATGCGGTACAAAGGAAATATAAAAAAGTTAACCACCTCAAAATCTTCTTTTTCCTTCTGGAGCATTGCTTTCAATTCAGCTATATGTTGACTGGACACAAAATCACTTGAATTTTTTTCTGAAATATGATGAAGAGCGTTCAGTTCCTCAGCAAATAAGAGTTCTGCCCTGCTTCTCACCTATAGTGATGCAATAGTCAATCACCCTATCAAAATGTAAACAAAAAAACCAAGGATTGCATTAGGAGAAAGTCTAAATAACCAAACCTTATCAGACTCCTTTTGTATCCACTCCTGCTTATCATAATTACAAACAATATTTGAGGGCGGAAGATAGACAGAGTAAATATGGATTGGAGCATATCGAAAACATGCAACCATCCTCCCAAAACTGCACATGCATAAACACTCAATGCCATCAGAGAGAAAATTACTTGAAAGCTTGAGTTGCTTGTAAGACTGCATCAGTATCATTTGAAACAGAAGAATGTATATACCCATAAAATCGGAGACATTCTCTATGTAGCGAATGACCACAGCTTGCAAACCTGTTTGCAGTATCATGTTTCGAAAACCTGAGTGCCAAAAAATTCCCAAATGATAGACGCAATGCAGCATCACTCATTACCACTCTTTTGGTGGCAGGAGGTAAACCATTGGTCCTTGGACATCTTAGGCACCGATGCCACGTCCAAATTTTTCCTTCTCGTTCACCTGGCAACAAGAACGCTGAATGCTTCTTTACAGAAATTTTAAGGCTTCCCTGTCGATGAGTATAGCAATGAAGATGTGCTTCCGATGGCATTTCACATGAGCGGCACCGGTAGCCCTTAAAAAGAAATTTTTAAATGAAACTCATATTCTGAATACAACTAACATAGTAATATGTAGCGATGTATGCAAATACAGAACATGCATAGGGAGAGAAAAGATACCTGATCAAACAAATGATCTCGAAGAAACCAACGCAAAGGCTTATCAAAGCTTCCATGGTACTTGATGCGAAAGATATCTCGTTGACAGACAGTTCCTTTCCACATACAACATGTTGACAAGGAGACCAAAATACCATGATGATCAGGAGATGAGGAAAAAGTTTCTCCTTTTAAAGATTCCATTTCCTCACTGCAGTTAATCTTGTGCAGTTCTGAAGATGCTATGTTTGATGTGCCTGAATGGGAAGTCAATTCAGTTCCATCTGCATGAGGACAGCTAACGTGTTGACCCACATCCATTAAATTGGTAAAATAACTGGAAACTTCATTATCATCTCCCTGTACTTCATTAGCTAAGAAAGAGGTCTCCAGAAACAGGTGATAAGCAGCAAACACTCCACGCTGGACTACATATTTAACTTTCTCCAATTCATCAGCACTCGCACCCTTGAGCAGAATCTGAAATAAAAGGAAAATTAACATGCCCACTCCTGCAGGATAGATTACTTTTTACTATAAAAAAACCTAATCCGTGCACAATTTTCATTAATAAGTGGTGACGAGAAACTTAGGAACTCTGCCTACTCAAGTATCATGTTAAATCACGTCATATAGAAGCTTAGACTGATAGAGAGAATAAACTTGTCTACTCAACTTGTGTCTTCAAAATAACAAGATTGTTCTTTCACAAATATACACCATAAAACCAAAATAGCAAGGGTAAATATATTACCACCACAAAATTTGTTTGTTCCACCTCAATTTTGAATGATTTTTTATCTATTTAATTGCCCCCGAGTAAATGACATAAATAATTTTCTATTTCCACCACCAATGATAACTTCTCTTCTTTTCCCTCACCTTGCCTGTGTGTATATATATATATTTTTATTTATTTATTTTTTTTGAGCTAAAACAATTTTCTATTTCCACCATAACCAATAACTTTTGCAGCCAAGAGTGTTTCTGCAAACACACAGAAGTCATCTCAATAAAAGTTAATTTAACATGCATAAATAGAATAACAAGTAGTTTATATAACCATTAGTCAGAGTAAATTTAACCTTTATTTAGTAAGAGCTACAAATGAGTATAATATTGATATATTTTATAAATTTCTATAATATTTAGGGGTTGTTTGAGCCCCATTTTCTTCAAAAAATGCATTTTCAAATAGTGTTATGATGGGAAATATGTGGTTAAAAAATAATGAAAAGTTTTGGATTTACGTGTAATATTATTTTATTGAAAAATGTATGGTTGAAATGAAGTCAAATCACTGTTGAAGAATGAATTTTGATCGAAAAAAATGGGGCTCAAACAAGGGCTTAAATACTCGACCCTAGAAAAAAATTACGATAAATTTTGTTAAAAAATATGCCTAAGACAATAAATCTTAAGAATTGTCCTCCCTGCTTTAGTTTCCACCATGAAACAGCATGTTCAACAATTTCCAGAAACAGAATCTGCTGCTTTTTAATGACCACTATAAGGCCCCACATGTGAACTTAAAACTGGAACAGCTAAAAGTAAAAAGTCAAACTTCGGCCATTGGATAAAAAAAATATAACTGATTAACGAAGGAAGAAAATGGACAAGTTAAATTCTTTCAGACTTACAGTACAACCGAATGGCTTTGGACAACCTTCAAAAAACATGAGAGTTTTATTTAACTTTTTCCCGCTTTGCCCTGCACTTCCATGGTCTTCCAGGAACTTCTCCACATGAAATGAGTCACAATAGCCTAAGTTTGGCGTCATAATATGATCTAGAGAAGGAACTATTTGAGCACCAGTGCAGCCGGCTATACGCTCTAAAAGCCGTCTCTTGATGTTATGAACAAGAGATATGCCTTTCCCAAAAAGGTATTTGCTTGCATATTGAGAAACCGATTTTTCCACTAAAAGAACATCTGGGTAGTGAGGTTGAATCTTTGCAGCAGCCATCTTCAAAGGGTCTATTTCCTGAAAAGAAGAAATCCATGAGTGATAAACTACCAATACGGCCACTAAAATCAGTAAAGAGTGTATAAAAGATGAAGAAATCAAGAGGATAAAGTCAAAGTCAAAACCTGCTGGAATAAAGTATGAAAACTTGACAAGTGATCAGCAACCCCTTGATACTCCAGGGAACCTCCAAGGAGTAGTAATCGTGGTTTATCAATGTCTGACTTCATCTGCTGATGAGCCACATATTTCTTGCAAACAATCCCTCTAATCACAACACTAGTGAAAACATAATGAAAATCCTGTGAGAATGAAAAATTGCGATGGCACCAAGAAGCATGCATTTAAGACAGCAATATATTATCTCCACTGGCTTGAGTCAGAAACTTTGAATCTCACACAATCAGTTGTATCTTCTATTAATTCATAAATTTCGTACCATATAGAATTCATGATTACTTTAGAGCAGGATATTTGATTTCTCAATAACCATCTATATTAACCACCCACTTAAAAATAAAACTTTAAATTTTTTGTTTGCAAATTTTCAAGTGTACAATCACTAAATCTAAGTATTTCAATAAAATCTTTTTTTTGAATCTTTTGTGACACATCAAGCATGCCCAAGTAACTAAAACTAAAATTAGTTAGAAAATAAAGATAACGGAGTTAAATATTGCAAAGCAAACATATAAATTAATTTTCCTGAAAATCGGCTGCATGACACAACTTAATGGATGGCATACACAAACACAAAATTTCACCACCTTCGACGAGATCCAGTGGTTTGTGCATCTGCCAATTTTAGATACAGAAATTAACAGAATGAAAAATTAAGATCAAACTCAATCATTACATATGTGATAGTAGAAGATTTATGATAAAAGTGATAGATAAAAGTGATAGTGGGTTATGAGCATCATAACAAAAACCAAATAAATTTTTATGGTGAAACAAATATATTATATTTCAAATGTGTGTAACGATAATAACATGCCATAAACAGGGGAGTAATCATGCAGAGTCAAACAAAATACCTCTCACTCCGACACCCTGAAGCTAAGTATTTAACCTTAACATATTCACCAGGATCCATTCCTCTAACCATGCTTGTATCCGGATTGAAAAGTGTGACAGCTTCCCAGGATAAAGAGGTAATGATATTTACCCAACTCTCTTCACCATCTTTAGTTACAGGTACGTTCTCACCCTGCAAAAGTTGAGTGATTAAATTTCTGAAATGCTCACCATCGACTTTTTTCATAGCCTTCTTGTGCTTATCATGTGATCTATCCCTAGTTTGATATTCCCCACCGCCCAAGCTGCTTGAGCCTGTAGCACAGTCACTACCACTATCATCATCGTTGTCAAATAAGAGAGCTTCTCTGTCCTCTTCATCTTCAGGCTCTGGAGGAAGCCAAAATGGAATATTATTCTCATAATCCACCAGTTCAACATCGTTACCATTTGAACCATCCAAAGTTGGTTCAGTGTGTTCCTCATGAGTATGCACTTTACGTTGCTCATAAACATGATCAATCACATTGCAATTGGTATCACCATTCAAGATATGTGAGTCATCATCCTCATCACCACTCCTGGATCACGAGAAGAGATGTATTTCATATATGGTTATGAAAATTCAGCTGGAATCAATAACATTGAGTGCGATTATGCACACACAGATAACAAAGAAAACTATTTTTTGAACATTATGAATGACAACATAGACAATTATCGACAATAGTGCCTACGAAAGAGTTGATAAAAGCTTTTCAATGCTGAGAAAAATGTAGTTGGAGTGGATACCTATATTTGTTTAAGCTCCATGACTAGAGACTCGCATTACTTCTCTAATGGTTTATGTGCATTATGAAAGGCCAGGGGTAGACAAAAGAAAACTTCCAAAACTGCATTGATGTGCTTCATCTGGTCCCATGGGGAGATGAAACTTAAGAGCTTTGATAATATCTTCTACTAAATTTTGAGAATAATTCTTGCATCTGACTTCTCATTGGATAATTTCTCGATCAAGGATGAGGACTTAATCAGAAGAGTTATGACCAAGGACATGTAAAATGGTTTGGAGGATTCTCTTTATAAAACCATGGCTTCTATATTTTGTGTTTTATCCTTTTTGAAGAGCAAATTTATTCCCACTGCCGCTACATATTCGTGATTAGAACTCTCGAAAAATTTTGTGGTAATTGCTTACACTCTCTCAACCTGGTAGTGCAGGTTTGTAGCTCTCCGAAGGCACAAGAACACTAATATCAAGATAAAGCTGCAGGATTTTGCAAAAATGGATTTCTGTTATGGAAAAACCAGGTGAACGAATCCATGGCAAAATAACTGTTACTAGTATCTGGATTACCACACAAGATCACTACATTACTAAGTTCGTCATTCAATATTTACCAAAATATCAGGGTTTAAACAGAACAAGAAATAATTTTTAAGTTTTATGCTTCTACTATACTGTTATTAGATTCTAACATTACACCATTCTAATGAGAATTTCTTAACGGCTAAATGGTTTTACATCTTATAAACTGAATCCAAAGAAACATAGATGAAATCATAGAATCGCAGATTACATCATAAACCCTAAATCACAACATCAAGGCTTAGATCTTTCAATCGAAGGCTCAGACCACACCCATTAACCATCACAGAGGCACCGAGACTCAAAACGAACCCTCACAACCCAAACACACCAAGGTCACTTCACTGGACTCAAGAAATCAAACTGCCTACCTTCGGTCGATCACTCACACCAAGGAGAATCACACAAGAACACGATTATCACAAAGATAATCAACCAGAAATCTCACAAAGAGAAGAAGGAAGGATCACACAGACAAAGGAACTCGAAGGTTCCAAACGGCAGAGAGAAAGAGAAAAACAGAAAGTGACGATCCAAGAGCCAAACAGGGAGTAAGGAAGATATTTATAGTAAATATCATCAACCGTTGATCAGCGGGTCAATCCAACGGTCCAAGAGCGACTAATGGTGTGTGGGCTGGATATTGGGCTCGATTAAGTGGGCCTTCTAGGTATATATTTAATGGACCAAGTAATAAATCCAATTTGGGCCTTTTCATCATTGCCTAACAGTTGGACTGGATCAAATGGCATCACAGCCCAACA